TGATACAATTATGCATTTAAAGTAGGAGCACTCAATACTGGATTAATTTTTATTTTTCGAATAATTTGTCGTTTATCGTCAGCATTAAGAACACGCGGTCGTCCTTTTTGCAGAATAGATACAATTCGATCTTCATCTTTATAACGTTTTATAATGCCTGCAACAGTACTCTTACTTAAGTTTAATAATTTCTCAATTTCCCGATATGATTGCCCTTCTTGTCGGCGATATATCACAGGCTGTCGGACGTCAGACGTAGTATTTTTATTTTTCTTACCCATTTTCACAAATACGTATAGCAACGATGACATATCTCAGGAAACGGTATGAACTGTGGCACGTACTTGATGTTTACAAAGAATTCAGAGGAATCTAAAATTCAGAGGATTCTATGCGAATAAAAAGTGAGATATATCAGGTGTTTGAATATAACACACACGCACGCGCGCGCGCGCGCACGCACGCACGCACGCACGCACGCACGCACACACACACACACACACACACACATCACATTCATTTTAGGATTCATCTTTCCACCTGACCTTAACCTAAACGTCTAATCGATAGGCTCGTCTCTCGCACCGATGATTGTTTAGTCTATCTATCGTACGTTTCGATAATCGTTTCAAGTGTTCCTGCTTCTACCCGAGAGTAGGATTGAATTTTAAGATTTGGATACTGTTTCGAATTCTACTAATAGCTTTCCCAGAGCAATGTATCCATTGTGTCCACTCTGCCACAGTTGCAGTACACTAGAGAGAAACACTCTAGAAAGCAACTGGCAACAGTTTTACTCAAGTGGACACGTAGCTTGAGCTATAGAGAACATTTTGTTCTTTCATGTTTTATTTGTGCTGTCCCCCTTCCCCCGCCGCCAAACTTTTACATTTATCGAGTAACTGATGTGGTTTTAAAATTTTTATGATTCCACATTAATTTTAATATAATTATTTGCTACTATTTCAGAAACAGTAGTAGGTTTTTTTTAAATAAAAGTATAATTTCTTGGATATATAATAATTACATTTATTCATAATTTTCAAAAATCCATACAAAATTTTTTAGTTTATTAAAAATACAACCATGGAAGAGTCACAACGTACATCTTTTATTTACAAAATTTTATTATTTGCTGTTATCTTATAATAATATAAGTAACTATTCATTGGAATTGTAAATATTTGTACATTAAAAAGCAAACTAGCATTAAAACTTAAAACTTAAAAAAACTTAATATAAATATAACCCATTATAAATTAATTCGTTATACATTTATTATACATTTGTTGTTCTATGTCAACCTTTTATGGTAGATTTACTTGAATCGGAATAACATCGTCGGTATACTTAAAAAATATTTGTAATATGTTCTGTTTATTTTCTTCATCTTTTGTTATGAGTTATCATATTCCATTATCAGCTCCACACTACGTACCACGATATCATTGATCGTTTTGACGCTGCTTTATATGTTTCGTCAGTTTTCCAAGTTGGTGGATCATTTTGTAAAAAATTGCTACTTATATTAAATTTAATAAAAAAATTGCGACTTTCAGCGAAAATAAAATTGTCTACACCAATGTTAACACAATTTCTTAGATCTTTTAGGACAGGTTTTTTTTATCGAAGATTTCTACTTGCTTATTACTAAAATTTTTCAACATACGTTTTCTTGTATCGAGAGAAGCATCTGCATGAAGGAAAGGTAATGCTGCACATGCTAGATTGAAATACCATAAATGTCCACAAAATTTACGTACACTTACACTTTTTACTACCTGACTTACGCTTTCGTCAATTTCTTTATATTTGTAAATATTTTACGAAAATTACAAATCTCGATGAGGAACTTTTGCAGCAGTTGGTGCATTAAGCCATGCTTCGCTATAATCGATATAAAAGTTCGCTATAAATATACATAAATCCTTAATTGTTATAATTTCTTCGTTACTTACTGGAAATTCTTACTGGAAATAAATATACTTTTAATACATAAATGGCTTTAGCCATCTATCCAAGCTAAAATAAATAACAGAACAATGATATAATAACGAGTAACTGATAGCTAAACACCAAGAAGTATTAACTGACAAGGGGTAACTCGGATTACAGAACTGTAAGCGATCTTACAATTAGAATAGACAGCATAAACAGTCAGGCGACAGCGTCTCCGACTGTTTACGCCTAAAACACTTGAACCTATCGATGGAGTGACGATCGGTCGAGGGGTGTTGAATCTTCTCAGGCCGAAGGACCATGAGTAAAATAAAAACCTTTGATGAAGAAAGTCTTCAGGACCACTAGCCCTATCTCCTTATCCTTCCGCTACAGAACTAACAAATAATAACAAATAACTTCTAACTAATAGCAAATGCTAAAAAGAATTAACTTTCAAGGAAAGAAGAGTAACTCATAATTGTAATATCGAATAAATTATAAACCATCGCTAAGAACAATTAACTGACACGGTATGTCGAATAAATACAATAATAACTTAGTACCCACAAATCATAACAAATCGTAATCAGAAATTACAAGTAAGAACGAATAACCGATAGTTGAGCAGTAAGGATTAGTAACAGGTAAGGATCACCTTGCAATTACTAATTCGGAATTCGGTACACTGAACTTAAACTGCCGAACTGGACATCGAGATATATTAAAGAATGCCACACATGTGGTAATTACTAAATATTAATCGAATACCAGCAACTATCAACCAGCAACTGATGACAAATAACCAAGATGAGAAACTCGGAAATCTGAATTCGGATGTTAAAATTCAAGATAGAGAATTATGGAATCAAAAATATTAGACTAACGTGTAAATTGCAGTAATTTATGGCTAATACATATGAACAAATGCAAGTCCACCAATACTTGAAATCGATTTTTCAATTCAAAGCTCAGAACACAGAACTCTGAAGGCAGTTCTTAGTACTCGGATCTGAAATCACCATACCGTGTAAGGGGCTGGAGAGGAGATGGCTGTGCTAATAATTCTTATTCTCGGTGGCTAATCGCACTTTTACTCTCTTAGATCAAACTGTCACATGAAACTATTTACATGAAATTGATCTCCGTCGCTTCTTAGCTTGCCCTGTCTAACGGTGAGCCTCCTTTATCTATTCGCGGATCGGTTATCATGTTTGTTTGAGATTCCAGTTGTCATAGTTGCTTACTTTTCACTCCCGTTAATAAAACCGCTGTTTTATCGGTAACCGGAATACGCTTACTCTTATAACTGGAAACCGAGTACTGTGTGTGTCGCAAGAATCAAGCGATGGCGGCTATATAGTGGTGAAACACAGAGTAAGTGTCACTGTTGAAATATTTGGTGAAAAAGACTTTATTTTATAAAATGGGCAATTTTATTATTAATACTGTGAGCAACTTTCACCGCTGCCCATTGTCTTCCGGCAGAAGAAAGCCCTTCGTTGGATTTCTAGGAAGACATCGCCCAGGTTCAAACAACAAATACAGATGGGGATGTTTAGACGCCAAGCTGAGACGTCTGGACCGGAGTTGAACCGAAGAGGCTACCGAAACGTGAAGACGAGGCTGCGAAGAGGGGACACGCCCTATAATGCGGGGGATGCGTTTTTGACTCATTCGCCTACAAGCATAAAACGGAATAAATCATTTACCTATCAGCTAAACGCCTTTTCATTAAAATCCCCTACAATATTTACATAGTTGCTTAACATAAACATATACTATATGTATAATAAACGGAAAACTTTGGTAAAAATCAAATATCTATAAAAGTTAAAAATTTAAACTTTTGCTGTCGTGTAGTATTCACGATGTTGAAAATAAGATATATCTTAACGTATTTAGAAAAAACAATCTCATAGGAGAAATAGATATGTCTTTGAACTATGCGTCGAAGAGGTTCCGGGAACGCGTCAAGTGTTTATTTCACACGTTAGATAAGAATTAGGGGACCAGGACGAGCTGCAATCGTATACTCTTTTTCTTCACTCTAGTTTTGACTCTCTCTACGCGACAATCAGAATACTTGAGATATATCTTTCTTAGGAGAGAATAAAGATAATTATAAAATACAGATAGTTATTTATTTTTACCAATAATCCCAATAATAACATACTTAAAAACACAATTATTCGGCAACATCGCCAATTTAGATTAGATTTGAATTAGGTATATTTAAAATTCAATAGCCCCGATATACAATGTATTGGTCGGTAGACATCAATGATTAGTATAATTAGATTATATTATACTTATTGATTGTGCATGTGTGTATCGGAATACATATTACGGAAGCACGCGTGCAGGTAGGAATCGATTGCTGCCAATAGTTTTTTGCAAATATCTCGGAAGCTAAAGCTTGATTGATAAAGGATCAAATTATTTAAGATACTGCTCTTTATAACATATTTAAATATTATTAGAACTAGAGACCATTTAGTTCGTCGATATGTTTGCGAAACAAAATGTATGTATATGAAATAAAATTCGTCACAGTCGTAATAGAAACTATTGCAATTGATTTAAAATCATTATCAAGACACGATAGAAAGTTTATACCGCTAAAAGTGTCCGTAAAAGTGTAAAAATTAGTTATGATTTTCTTTTTTCTGCAATTATGAATCAAAACTTTTCACTTTTTTATGATTTTATTACACTTACCTGCAAATATTGTATATCAATTAAAAGAAGTCTGAAAGGGTCCTTCTTTGTCTGGTTACTTCATTAGTCTTTTCCGCATTATCGACTGAGCAAATAATTTGGTGACTCGCTGTATTTACATTGGATTCTAGAAAGGAGATACATCAAGGATAGGAAGAAAGAAGGGGAAAGAGATTGTAGAAGGAATACACATAGGTCAATCCAACATTCTAAACACAATGTTTTCACTTTCACGTTACCAGCATCGTTGTGGAAAAGTACTTACTAACACCAGTGGTAGCAGATTAATGGCGGTAATTTTTGCGAAGAAATATTTTTGATTTTACTTGTTATCGATCAGAATGATCCTCTTTTACCGGATTTGCAAAGTTATTTTGCAATACACATTGGTTATTATATGTATTCAACCTGAAATATTTGTAAGTACTTATGTAAATGTTAGGTTTTCTTAAATCTGCAGTAATTGAAGCTGTGTTTCCTTATATAACAATTGTATTTGATATGCAATATCAAATCTTAATCAAAATATGGCAATTTTCAATTTTTTAGTAACAATTTGTTAAAATGTTTGAAATATGAAAAAGTAAAAAATTGAATTTTTTGAGAAATATTAAATACAAAAATATTTTAACATTTGTCAACATAAACAAGATATAAATTAAGTTGTTGAAGTAAATTAATATATTTAAATGTTCCAAATGTTAATTAAAAATTTGTATTATTTTTATGTATAGCTGAATTCATTATGATAATAACTTTCGATAATAAACATCATTTAAACATCAATTATAAGAGAATAATATTGTAATATTATTAATAAAACATGGATACATTTTCCTTAGTTTTCATAAGTGAATGGAAAATTAAATTATCACTTAATTAATTATGCAGAAAAATATTTCAAAGAATATTTTATTAATTGGTGTATTTTGTCATTATGTTATCATGAAATAAATATGTACATTATACAGTATTTTCATAAATTGTATAAACTTTTCTTGATACTAAATGGTCTTAAACTATTGCAAAATGTTTGAAATAGTTTTTGTTAGTTTGTTTTAATTATGAGGTTTGTTGGTTCATAATTATAATTTATTGCATACATTAGGAAAATGTATAAATATAATTTATACTGAATTTTTAGTTTTAATCTGCTATATTAGAATTTTATTTGCATCTAAAGGCAAAACAACTGTAGTTGCTTATCATTTTCTATTTTTATGTGTGTCCAAGAAACTAATAGTGTCGATAAATAGATGCTTAATAGCAGTAGAATAATCTAATAACAATATACAACAGAGAAGTATTTAGGTAAACAAAATAAAACTTGAAAAGTAGATATATATAAGTATACAACTTCTAGGTTCCATATTATTACAGAATATTAATTTAGTATTGATCAACATAGTAGATAAGGTATATTCATAACTTGAGTTTATAACAAACATTGGTCATTGATAAAATGAACTGCATTTATTATTTTAAAAATAAATTTCATTATTTTTAAAATAAGTATTTCACACAATTTAATATATGTAAGTAATGCAAAAAGTTTGATTTTATAATTATTTATTATTGAAAAATATACTAGCTTTACAAAAATAAAAAATATGGTCAAATTAAATTGTGTAAAGTATTTCTTAGGTATTACAGTAATATTTTATAATCATGTATTTTAGTAACATTTTATAGATTTGATATTTATATTTTTCAGAATATAAATGCTATGAAAGTAAATTTCTCATGCATAAACCGAACTGCTGGTTTTTATGCCGATACCAGTGCCAATTGTAAGATATATCATACATGTGACGAATTTGGAAATAAATTCACCTACCAGTGTCCAGAAGAAACTGCTTTTCGACAAGATGCTTTAATCTGTGACCACGCTCATCTTGTTTATTGCAAAGAAAATACATCCTCTAGTACAAAAGAATACATTAGAGAAGAAAAGAATAATAACTCTTTGTGTACAAAAGAATCGTTGAATAAGTATCATACAACACAATCGACAAATCCAGATAATAAAGTAGGGTATAGATTTGTCTTAAATCCAAGACAACTTCTTAAAAATCTTAATGAGACAGAAAGAATTGAAACGAAAATAATAAATTCGTTTTCTCCATTCAGTTATATTAATTCTTCGGCAAATATTTCTATTAATTGTTCTATAAATACTAATACACAGTATACACCTATAGTAGACCATCATGATGAGAAAGGGTTGCAAGAAAATGAAAGCTTTCCTATCCAGAATCAAAGTTTTTATTATAAGGATAGACTTAATGAAAAACCAAGGATGAACCAAAAAGGTTATTTACATCAAAAAATAAATGATGTTTTATATAACTACCTAAAGGTACCTTTGAATACAGTCACTAGAAATGTTCAAATTCAAGAACATAACATAAAAGATGATCAACCTACAAAGAATCCCACTGATTTTTTAAAGTTATCTTCTATAAATTATAGAAATTATCCATATTTAGAAACTTTAAAATCTATACAAAAGAATACAAAAATTCCTTCTACTACAATTGGTATTGGAACAACAAATATTGCATTAGCTACTACAGAATTACCAGTGTATGCTTTAACATTATCTCTAAAACCTTTAGTACCAAGTGAACTAGAATATGACCCGTATTATCCGAAATTTTCAACAACAACAGAATCTTATTACACTCCTCCATATGACATTAAAGAATGGTCTTATATTGGAAATTCTACTCAAACAGTGTGGCCAACTACTCATTTTGAACTTCCATTGGTTTTACCAGACTTAAATTCTTTGGATGATATTGTTGATCGTAGAAAACTACTTTACATTCCTCGAATTAAATTCAATTAATGTAAATACTATCTTGGTAAATATAGCCAAATGTATTGGTTCCACAATTCTATTATTTGATTCAATTGAAAATTACAATTATATAAATACATAATCTACCATACCCTTGTCACTTTAGTATAACTAAAGAGTTTTAAGTTTTACAAATAATTTTATTTTTATTTGCACTAACGAATTTTTCAAAAATTATTATTTATTAAAGTAAACAAATTCTTTTTTTATGTTAAAGATCTTTACAGTGTATGTTATCCATATATTATACGAACATAATTTTTTATCAAGTCTAAATTTTGATATGCAAATCTTTTAAAGAGATATTTGTTTAAAATTGATGTTACGATGTCTTATAATAGTAATTTATTTTTAAATAAATAATAATTTATTAATCGTAACTAAGCGGTAATATTTCTTTGAAAGGAAAGTGTAAAGGTTAAGGAAGTTTCTATCATATTTAGTTGCAATGAAATGCGATCATACAAGTTAACATCACTGTTTCACCATCCTAACGATTTTTTGGATGGTACCTACACTTATAGTACATATATTATTAAGATTACAAACTGACAAAACACATTTTGATACAATAAAGCAATATGCTTTTCTTCGTTATCGAGATTGCAATTTATCTTAAAGAACTATTTCCTTAATGTAGCTATTTTCCGAATCGTCGAAATCCTGTAATAAGCACAATAAACACAGAGCGTCACTATAGTTTGTACTAAGAACCTTAACTAATCAACCTTAAGGTACGTGTCCATTTGAGAGTTTCTCGCAATAATTGCTCTCGAGAGTACTTTCAAGTTGTATGTCCATTTGAGAACAATTACGCGAACTTTCACTCTGAGGTAGGCGATAGAAAACTCGCCAAAAGTTTACTCGCATTTGAAGCTTTCAAAACTTTCAAAACATTTGAGAGTCGTTTGACAGTCAATATCCGACAGACTGTCACTATGCTGCTCTTCTTTACGACTCACACATACACTACACACTGATACAGTGCATATTGAAAACGCATCACGTACATTCCAGGATTCATCTTTCACATCTAATTTTAACCTAAACATCCACTCGATTGGCTCGTCCCTCACACCGATAGTTGTTTAGTCTATCCATCTTACTTTCCGATAATCATTTCAAGTGATTCTATCTCCCGCTTCTACCCGAGAGTACTTCCCGGATTTGAATACCGTTTCGAATTCTGCTAGTAACTCTCCGAGAGCGATGAATTATTCTGTCCACACTCACGAGCAACTCGCGACACGCTGATTCTCAAACAATTAAATTCTCAAACACTGTCTCCACTGGCAAAGAACACTCTCAAAATCAACTCGTAACAGTTTTATTCTCAAGTGGACACGTAGCTTTAGATTTAAAAATACTAATTTTGTACACTTTTAGAACAATTTACGGGTGTGGTGTCATGAAAAGTGCATGGTTGGTACTCATGAATGGTTAAAAATATAAAATCTAATGTAAGCCGATGCTATCTGAGCACAACAATATATTATTTAAAAATGTATTACAATACATATTTTATTGTTATAACATATTTTTGTTAATCATATTTTATTTATAATTGCGTGTCATTTCCTTTATTTCTCATGCATATGCTTTTATTTATACATATACTTACTATTAATTTTGATGAGTATTTTAATAAGGTTGGCAATAGTTCACAGAAGATCCAATAGTCGATCAACTTTAAAATTGGACGGAAAGGGCGGGGGAGAATTATAAATGAAAAATATTAATTCTTTTAGCACCATACATAGAAATTTAGGTAATTATTTAAAAAATAGATGCCCTCCAGGATTTCGATGATTTTTTAATATGTTATAGAATCACTACTCTGTACAACTTTTCTCTATATACAATATATAATCGCCACTCGCCCTTAGTTTTCGAGATATTCATTAAACTTCTTTCATACTATTACATTAAATTGAAAATTAATACAATGATTAAATTACAGTGACCGTGTATATGTCAGCTGGAGGCTGCCGTTTTCCTATAAATAAGAAGCACTGTCAGCCAATATCGAATAGATATAGTGTATAAAACGAATTGAACATAGTGAGAATTTTATATACCTACAGAAGATCAAACTTAATTGATTTCAATGATTTTAAATTCGAGTTTGTGTAGTTGATTATCTTAATATTAATTTATTCTAATCTAACCTAATCCGCTGATATGTTAAATTAGAGTTAGGTTAAGTTAGATTAATATCCCTGGCGTTGTGCTATGAAGCGTGAACTACGTTAGTTGAAATTCTAAATCTTTAAAATCAGTTAAATTTGATTTATTGCAAATATATATAAAACTACGTGAAATATTAAAAAATTAATTTTTCTAGTTCAGCCTTTTGAATGGGTGAAGTTACTAAATTGCAAATTTACCTCGTTTTATTATTTATTACCTGAAATTTGATTTTTCAGTTCATACGTTACACGTTAAAGCTTTCAGTTGCCTCGGTGTCTTTGGAGAAACAGCAGAAAGAGCGGGGGGCGCTTGTTAACACATACACTGCCACAGATGAGTAGTTTCAAACAAAATTTAATGCAATAGTACGAAAGAAATTTTACAAACAACTTGGAAACTAAGACCGAGCTGCGGTTGCATGAAAAAAAGAGAAAGAAAAAAAAAAGAAAGAAAGAAAGAAAGAAAGAAAGAAAGAAAGAAAAAACGAGTTGTTGAAAATATCAATATTTATAATGTATTAAAATATTATGCAAATCCCGGAGGCCGTCCGTTTTCTAAATAACTACTAAAATTTATCTATACAAATATTACTAATACGACTGACCGTTTTCTCTGTAATAATAGTCGACGTCGAGTGTCGTAGTATCTGATTCCAAAAAGTCTTTTAAGTGAGATACTCTAGAGAAGCTGAGGCTAAATCTCTATCCAGCTACTTAACACATGGCAAAGACTATTACTATAGTGGAATTGGTAAAAACGGTAGAGAGAAATTTGAATATATAGTACGAAAAATTTTCTATTAATTACTTGAAAACCATTAAATACTCGAAATTAATATTTTATATTTAGGATCTATTCCAATACTTTCCTTCTACTCCTCAAAATCTGATGCTAATCGGTCACTGGTATTTAACATTAAATTGATGTACACAAATTGTACAAAATTCTATTCATTACAAGATGAACTTTAAAGGTATCGAGTGTTCCTTCAAACCGTACAAAGCCCCGATCGACAGCAAATTTTTACTGAAGAAGTGAAGAAGGAGAGGAGAATGAATAGACATTAAATTTAAAATGTTATTTTCAGAAAATAAATAGTTTTTCAGATATTAATGAAAAACTTGTGACATTATACATCGTTTACATTATACATCGATCGTTTCCTCTGTAGAAGTAGTCATCGTTAAGTGCCGAATGTCCAATGATGCGCACTAGCATCTGGCATCAGTTTCTTTAAATGCGCCATTTAAAGTTTCGTTCTGCTTTTTACATAGACTTCGTTCCTCCTCCAATGCCTCCATCCAGAAAGCAAAGTTAGTTCTAAATCTGTTATTATTTCAAATTACGTAATACAGCTCGAGATATTGCTAATGAGAAAGACTATTGCCACTAATAAGTGCACAGTGTATACGTACGCGTACGTGGCAGCGTGTGCGTTAGCGTGAAACTATGGGCGACATTTAAAACAAGTAACGCCGTTGATCTCTGGCAGATAATTGTGTATAGTTATTATAGTTTAGATAATTTGATATATTTGCAAAGGTCGAAACTTAACTGATTTAAATGATTTTAAATTTCGACTTTGACGACCGGCCTTCTAACCGCGGCCGTGTTAATAGTATGACCTAATTCCATTAATTAAGTATGATTGTGATTGATTGGATTAAATTAATATCCCGATCGCCGTCTTAGTTAATTTAAAAAGTTATATTTTAACTGCAAATCGTAATTTTATTCCACAGCGTTATTATATTTTACAGTTTTACAAGATAAGAGCATAAACTGCACATTTATAAAAAACGAAATTTGGTGAGTTCGCCTACTTCGTAATTAGTGTATTCTGAACATTATATCCGAACAGTGTGGAACGTTTAAACAATTTATGACCATTATATATAATATTGTATATAATAATTGTTGAAAGAACGGATTTTAGCACGATTTATACAGGTTGTATTACACATTTTTTCTTGATCATTTTTTCATGTAATTAAAAGCAACTAGAATATCTGTGATGAACGCAACATTAACATTGGACAAATGCAACAATCGTTATGAGATATTAAATGTTTATTCGAATTTTTGAAATTTTCTTACAACTAATTTATAGAAATTAATTATAGAATATACTTACTATTAGTCTCATGCAAAAAGAATTTTTGAATGATAGAGAATGAAAAACAACTATCTTCGATTACCACCATATTCAATTTTTATAGATAATAAAGTAAAATATCCTTTAAAGAACAGAGAATGAAATATTAGATAAACACAAAATTAAAAAAAGATTAAAGAAGAATAAAAGAATATTAAAATTTTCAAATGTATCGAAATAATTAATTTCAAGTTAAAAACAATTGAATAACAATCGTTAACAACTTACGAACGATAACTTGTCAATAAGATTTTACCTTTATGATACCATCATTTGAACACATTATCAATTATTCTATCGAAAGCTAACTTTAAGAACGCAGTATAATAAAATGTTGCGCATCCTGTATCTCTGGGTAGAGTTCGCGAGTTGCAAGGGTGGCTTTTCTTGTTTCTATCGATCGACGCCTGTGCAATGAGCGACCTCGACTTGACCGCCGACCATAGCCCAGGAGAAGTAATCATCGTTCGATCCTCGCACGCTTTGAACGTGTTTATACAATTATGTATTTCGATCTTGTTTTCTCTCATATTCACGTGCTTTATAGTGTTTACCTTTGTCCTGTGAAGATTAAATAAGACAAAAATAAGGAAAAAGGAGTGCTTAGGAACAACTTGACTGTGAAAACGGTAACAGCCGGGAC